CTGTGTGGAATCTGGTGAAAGAAAAAAAAATATTGTTATGATTTGTGGTGCAAGTGACCCTGGCAGGTCTCCCTTCAGATGTGGGGGGCTGCAGAAGGTAAAGGACAGAGAGATATGCCAAACAGAAAGAGCTTGGATATGTAGAGTTTATTTAGTGGGTATTGGGAGGCTATAATTAGGGGAAGGGTAGTATGGTGGTGAAGAGAGAGAGAAATTGAGGGACAGAGAGAGAGAGAGAGAGAGAGAGAGAGAGAGAGAGAGAGAGAAAGAAGAAGAGGAGGGGAGGAGGGAGACAGGGAGCTGCCTCTTCAGAAGAGTGGACAGAGAGAAAGACAGGGAAAGGGAAGAGGGCCAAGATCAGCTTGCATTGGTACAAAGGGGAAGATTGGGAGTGGGTAGAGCTTGTCTCTTAAAGAAACAGTTCAGGCCAAAATAATTATAAATATAACAATTACACCTTTCATGTATCAAAATGAAACTGACAGTATCAGATTTTATATCACTGTAAACAAAGGGTGTAGTAGGAGGCTGCTTGTTTGTTCCTGGCTAGAAGTTTGTTCCCAGCTGCTCAGTCCCACAATAACCATACAGAAACTGTATTTATTAAGTCAGTGCTTGGCCTATTAGTTCTAGCTTTTTATTGGCTAGCTCTTACATCTTAAATTAATTCATTTCTATTAATCTGTGTTCTATCACATGGATGTGGCTTACTGCCATGGTTTCTTCTGCTGTCTGTCTGTGGTGGGGCTGCATGGCTTCTCCAACATGACACCAGTAAAACCTAAAGATGCTCAACAGCAAGACTTGAACAATCAAATATAGATGATGAAGAAGAAAATGACTTAAAAAATAACTTCTGGAGAATGTTTGAAACTCTTAAGGAGGAAGTTAGATATTCCCTCAAAGAAATGGAGGAAAAGACAAACAAAAAATAGGAAGACATCAGCAAATCCCTTAAAGAAAACCAAGAAAAAACAGTAAAACATATGAAAGAAACTATTCAAGACTCAAAAACTGAAATAGAGACAATAACTCGAACCACAAGTGGAAGACTTGAATGACAAGAAATTCAGTCTTTGAAAGAAGAAATTGAAGAAGACGCTACAAAGTGGAAATATCTCCCATGCTCTGGGTAGGTAGAATTAACATAGTAAAAATGTCAGTATTACCAAAAGCAATCTACAGATTCAATGCAATGCCTATCAAAATCCCAGCAAAATTCTTCACCGACCTCAGAAGAATGGTACTCAACTTCATATGGAAAAGAAAAAAAAAAAAAAAAAAAACGGGATAGCCAAAGCAATCCTGTACAATAAAAGAACTTCTGGAAGCATCACAGTCCCTGACTTCAAANACCATGCACAAAACTCAAGTCCAAATGGATCAAAGACCTCAACATAAAGCCAGCCACACTGAACCTCATAGAAGAGAAAGTGGGAAGTACACTTGAACTTATTGGCACAGGAGACTACTTCCTAAATATAATCCCCATAGTTCAGACACTGAGAGAAACAATTAATAAATGAGACCTTTTTAAACTGAAAAAGTTTCTGTAAAGCAAAGGACATGGTCAACAAGACAAAATGACAGCCTACATAATGGGAAAAGAATTCACTAATCCCACATCAGACAGAGGTCTGATCTCCAAAATATACAAAGAACTCATGAAATTGGCCATCAAAAGAACAAATAATCTAATATAAAAAAAATGGAGTACAGACCTAAACAGAGAACTCTCAAAAGAGAAATCTAAACTGACTGAAAAACAATTAAGAAAATGTTAAACATCCTTAGTCTTCAGAGAAATGTAAATCAAAACAACTCTAAGATTCCATCTTACCACTGTAAGAAGGGCCAAGATCAAAAACACTGATGGCAACTTATGCTAGAGGGGTTGTAAAGTAAAGGTAACACTTTTACATTGCCGGTAGGAATGCAAGCTGGTACAGTCCCTTTGGATGTCAGTGTGGCAACTTCTCAGAAAATTAGGAAACAACCTTCCTCAAGACCCAGTAATACCACTTTTGCATATATATCCAAAGGATGCTCAATTGTGCCACAAGGACATGTGCTCATCTATGTTCATAGCAGCATTGTTTGTCATAGCCAGATCCTGGAAGCAACCTAAATGCCCCTCAACCAAAGAATGGATAAGGAAAATTTGGTACATTTACACAATGGAGTACTACACAGCAGAAAAACATAATGACATCTTGAATTTTGTAGGCAAATAGATGGAGTTAGAAAACATAATTTTGAGTGAGGTAACCCAGATTCAGAAAGACAATTATCACATGTACTCATTCACTCACTCACTCACTCACTCACTCACTCACTCATAAGTTGTTCTTAAACATAATGCAAAGAAAACCAGCCTACAAATCACAATCCTAGAGAAGCTAGACAACAATGAGGACCCTAAGAGAGGCATACATAGATCTAATCTACATGGGATGTATAAAAAGACAAGATCTCCTGAATAAATTGGGAGCATGGGGACCTTGGGCGAGTGTTGAAGGGGAGGGGAGATGCAGGGAGGGGAGCAGAGAAAAATGTAGAGCTCAAGAATAATTTACTAAATAAATTAAGAAACTAAGTTTGTTTTAATAGGAGCAGTGGGCTGCATCCCACCACCTGGCTAGTTTTACCCGAAATAATTACAGGGAAAATGTATTCTTTTAAACACTGCTTGGCCTGTTATCTGTAGCCTCTGATTGGCTAACTCTCACATCTTGCTTTAACCCATATTATGTGTAGCACCACGAGGTAGTAGCTTACCAGGAAAGATCTTAACCTGCATCTGCCTCAGAATCATGGCGACTGCCTGACTCGACTTTCTTTCTCCCAGAATTCTGTTCTGTCTACTCTGCCCACCTAAGGGCTGGCCTATCAAAGGCCAAGCAGTTTCTTTATTAATTAACCAATGAAAGCAGCAGATAGACAGATGACGAACCTACATCATAAGTTCACAGGTAGTTTTTTGCTATTATTTCTTTTTCATTCTGATCTTCACTCTTTCTGTTTCTTACCTCTTTATTGGCTCATAGTTCAATAACTGGAAAAACTCCATAGCAACAGTTCTGTTTCCCTTTCTTCTACTTTTCTGTAAGCCATAGAAATCATTTCCAGACCAGGACTTTCTGAGAAAGGTGTTTGCAGAGGAGGAATACAAGCCATATCTACATACGATTCTGTGAAAATTTATCCTTTTTGCTGAAAGTTTCTTGAGATTGATATTCTTATATTTTTCAGGTAAAAAGCTCGAAAGAAAATGTCTCAGAATCATCTCCCCCGTGTCTCCTGCTAGGCTTTACTGCTGCTATGCAGTGATCATCGTCCTCACTGGAGCTGTGATTGCACTTTCTGTGGTTCTGTCATTGTCAGGTGAGTGACATTCTCCAGATCCTGCAGCATTCTGTCCACATCCACACTGTCTGTTCCACTTACTGAGCACCATCAGCCAGGTGCTGTGTAAAGGCTGGAGAGAAAACACACTGGAAATTTCTGTTCTGTGGGAACTTAGGATCTAGGAGGAAGACAGAGAAGGAATAACAAACCCTATAGTATGCCCAGGAGGCCAGGGATAGTATCCCTGGGAAAACGGCATTTATTAACCTCTAGAGAGATGTAGGAGACAGATGTCTCCCTTGGGGAACAATTCAAGGTAGAGAACAAGGGGAGCCATACCCAAAGGAGGAAGCTCAAGGAACTGTGAGGACAGAAAAGAGTGATATGTCTGGAAAGATACAACACCTACCCCCATTATCCATTGTGTTAGTTACCATGTTCAACTATATTTTTTAAACTATTCAACGAAAGGTTTTTGGATGTTATCAATTTATAGGATTTTAAAACTACACTGTTCAGAATATTGTAATAAAAGTCTTGTACTATTGCTATCTGTGTGTGAGGGGGCCCTCTTTCCCTCTTGGCCTGTTGGCTACCAAGTTAAGAGGGAAAAGATGAAGAGGTGACAGAAACTTTGTATACAGCCCATGAGCATAGATAAAGGAAGGCCTCTGGGAGGTGGACTTAAATGAATCAGCTCAACATTCCAGACTATAAGGAATATATAGGATTAAGGAGCCTGGGTACAAAGCATGGCATGATCTTGTCACAAAACTTGGTATATAGCAATAGAGTCCTTTAGAAGAGTTCCTATCATAAGTCTTCTTAGCAGGAATCTATATCAAGAGCCAAGATAAAGATGAATCTTTATCTTTATCATGTACTAAAGACATGCATCTGATTTAGATACAGCTTTCATATAATGTCAGTCTTCTAGGCTTAGGAACATCCTCCAGATAAGGCTAGGTAGAGTGCAGGAAGCTTTGTTCGGAAAGGAGGGAGTTTCATATTGTCAAGCTTAGAGAGAAAGCTGCGAGGCTATGACAGACTGTGAGCTCTAATGAGCCAGCATGTATTCCAACATATGAGCAATCCCTTAGTGCAACAGGCACACACGGTATACACTGCCTTCCCAATAGTCCTCACTGTTATCTCAGTTATCAGGCTGACTGTCAAAGTAGGTGTCTATAGAGAGTGATGGTGCTCTAGCAAACCCTATTGCAGTGAACAATAATAAAGTACAAAAAGTGATGATATTATAGAAATTCACTTCTTGGGTGCCCTAGTGTCAGTGAGCACCTAAGAGATATTGTGGCACAGACCCAAGCTGGGATGCCTTTAGCTAAAGAACAATCATTCATAGGAGAAGACTCCTACAGATTAGTTAGAAAAACTACAGTCAAAATCACACCTCACATCTGAGCTCAATAGGGTATGCCAATTCTTGTTATAATTCATTTTATTGTCCAAATAGTAGAAAAAAGGCAAGAACAAGTCTCAATCAAAACTGCCTATGCTGCTTGCCCAAGAAACTGGATTGGATTTGGGAGTAAATGTTTTTATTTTTCTGAAGACACAAACACTTGGACATTCAGTCAGAACTCTTGCATGGAGCTGGAGGCCCAACTAGCTCAATTTGACAACATTGAGGAGCTGGTAAGAAAGAATCAGAAATTGGTTTCTTTATTTATTCAGTTGAATATGTATTACTTTTAGATAGAGAGGTTAAAGATGAAGCACGAGGAAGGATCCCATCCCCTGCAGATGGAGACATTGGGAACACATGATTGTGTGTCATTTTCTTATGGCAACACATCTGATTGGAGCCCTGTGACATTTTAGCAGCATTTTCTCATGTAGTGCTCATAGTCAATGTGGAAGGTCAGATATGCCATTTTACTGAGATACCTGCTAGTGATGAGCATTTTTCTCCAAGCTAGCAAATGCTTCATCCTGAACGTGACAACATCTAATAACTGAAAGGGGAGGCTTAATCAGGAACTAACCCAGCCATGAGGAATATGTCATTAAACTCAGTACTTTAATGAAAATGAGGTACTTAAGAATTATGGCTGTCAACTGGATTCACTGAGAACTGGGGGCTATTGTGGCTTCAAAGTCTGTGTCCCTCAGGTACACCCTCTTATCATCTGATGAGGAAGCTGTGGGGTGGTTACACTCAAGGATCATCTGAAACAGAGAGACACATATATTCACTTTCAGTGTTTTATGACAGAATTTCATGAGGAGATACAAAGGGACCTTTGACTACTGGATTGGCCTGCACAGAGAGTCACCAGAGCACCCTTGGAGGTGGATGGACAACACGGAATATAACAGCTCGTATGTTTTCAAACCATTTTCCCTTCTGCTGTGATCATTTTTTGTGAAGTGTGTGAGTTGTGTCTATGAGAGAGGAAATGCTGTGTCATGTGAAGCCAGCTGTATTGCCTTGGAGGTATATTGGCCATCATTTTCAAAACCTTTACTTACTGTGATTTTCCTCAAAATATTTTACATGATCATGGCATTTAGGGTAGCTATTGTTGTCTCTATCACTAATTTAAATTTCTTTGTTTTTGAGAAATTCCCTGTGTGGAATGTAAACAGAACCTTAGATGGGTAATGAGAGCCCTGAAACTTCAGGAAGCAACTGCAGAAGGGCAAGCCTGAGACCCATCAGTCTACTATGTGTCTGGCTGCACCTCTTCACAGAAACAGAGGCTTCACAGTCTTGGAAACCTTCACTAAAACTAGAGAACACCCAAGACAATTCTTGAGTGTGAACATAGATGTTTCGAATGGAGCCATTATACTGGAATGGTAGATCACGGACCCAGTCTTTTCTATTGTTAATGTCCATTCAGCAATTTACTACCATGTGTTTTTCCCCATATGTGAAATTCTTCAAAACAGAATTAAAAATCATCCTCAGTGAGCCATCTATGGCTGTAGTTAATTTGAACTCGGTAGCAAGCACAAGTTAATTCCTTTGTATTCAAATTAAAGGGTTGGTTCAACTTGGATGAATATCAAAGGTACTGTGTTTAAATCAAACTCTGAGAATGTAAAAGACAGTAGGTACAAACCTAGTGCAGATGGCTCTCCTGGACTCTGTCTTTCATTGATTCACATTACAAATAAGCAGTAGAGACAGACAAGATTTCACAGAGGAGCAAATGCAGTTCTGGGCTCTGCAGATTTACTGTGTCCGGCTTATTTTCAGGGTTCCCATCCGAGGAGTGGAAGACTATGCCTACCTGAACAACAACGGAATCAGCAGTGCCAGAATCTATACAGACAGGAGATGGATCTGTAGCAAGCCCAACAGCTATCTCGCCCACTGCCAATTTCCTTTTGCGTCTTTCTAGTCTTTGTTAAGAGATGCTTTGTAACCTGATATCTACAGTTGCTGCTCTATCCCCTACTTGCCAACATTGTTATAAAAAAGAACTCAGACTATCTTTTTACATTCAATTGAAAATCATCTTTGAGAACTGCACAGCCAAGGGTTTAGAAGAACATAGATGAGACTAAAATACTTGCTGGCATGCATACCTTAAGCCTAAAGTACAATTAACATTAGTGAACCCTACTTTTATGAAATGAAGTTTTTGTTCAGACAGTCCTCCTTTTAAATTTATGAGATCACAAGAATGAATTCCTCAAAGTTCAATTGCCCTTGGACTTTAATAATTAAAACACCTGGGCATTGGTGGTACGTGCCTTTAATCCCAGCACTCAGGAGACAGAGGCAGGCAGAGCTCTGTGAGTTTGAGTCCAGCCTGTCCTACAGAGCTGTTCCAGGACAGGGAATGCTGTTACCCAGAGAAATTCTGTCTCAAAAACCAAAACCAAAACCAAAACAAAAAAACTAAAAACTAAGTAAATAAATAAATTAAGCAGAAGGAAAGAAAAGCAGCAGGCAATGGTAGTAAAAGCCAGAGGCAGGTGGATCTCCGTGAGTTTGAGGCCAGCTTGGTCTTCAAAGTAAATTCTAGTATAGCCAAAACTACTCGGAGACATGTTCTTCCAGGGGGAAAAAGGAGAAAAAGGAAAAAAAAAATGAAAAGCAGAAAGGTTGTTGTTTTCAGAAAATTACTTAGGTTCTCAGAAAAATAAAAACATTTACTCCCAAATTCAATCCAATTACTTGGGCAAGCAGAATGGGTATTTTTGATTGAGATCTATAATTATACCTGTAAACCCAGGTATTTAAGGGTTGAAGCAGGAGAGTCACAGATGCACAAGTGGGGTCTGAAAGTATGGGAATGCTAATGATAAGGAAGATGAGAATCCATTTGAGCATCCTGTAATTTGGGGACACACACTACATATTCTTTTCAAAAGTCGTTCCAACATGCCAAAGAATTTAAAAAGTATTTAACACTAAGATTTACTTCATATTTTCCAAATTAAAACTTTAGGGACACTGTCAAAATGTTTCTGTACTTTAGTTTTCAATTATTCTATGAGTACATCTTATAAACAAATGCCATTTTTGTTAAAGAGTTGCTTGGATTTATTTCACATCAAAGGGGAGTTACACTCCTCAGGCATTCAAGACTTAATCTCTCAGTAGTGTGTGTACTATTGGGCCTTAAAAATCAAAGTATTTAAAATCTTTATAGAGCAGATACACTGTACTGATGAGTCCCAAAGAGGATGAAATACCAGGTTGCAAAGCATCTCTTGACCTCTTCATCTCTTCCTCTCCCTCTTGTTGTGTTCAAAAAATTCTTTTCTTTTTCTTTTATATCCATTATACACACACACACTCTCTCTCTCTCACGCACTCACACACCACCTGAACTGGCAAAGCCCAGAAGGCATCAACGCCCTAGAATTCTACTTATAGACTGACATGTTTGTACCACCTGAACTGGCAGAGATCAAAAGTCATCAGCACCCCGGAACTGGACATGTAAACTCATGTTGGTGTTGGGAATGGAATACAGGTTTTCTGCAAGTGCTCTTAAGTGCTGGACTATCTCTCCAGCCTTCTCTCCTTCCTTGACTTTTTTTTATTGTCAGTTCTTGCCAAGCTTTACAATGTTTTTTTAAAGTACTAATGCCATGCTTTGTACCTGCCCCTTTCCGAATAGAACAAGCACAGAAGTGGGGGTGAAGAGAGGTGGGGAAGTTGGAATTGGGGGAGGGATGGGAGGGAAAGTTCTATAAAAAATAAATAAATTTAATTAAGAAAACCTGCAGGTAGCTTTTGAGTAACATATTATACTTATGTTATGGCTGTATTTTATTGTTCATTAGGTGAATTAAAGTATATTTTATTCTCAGAAATGACTTTTCAGCCCCCTTCCCTACACAGACATACAGACACTCCCACATGTGTAGAGGCACATACATCTCACTTAGCCCTAATAAAAATTTTTCCTTGCAATCTCTTTCACTTTCTGCATCTTAATAGGAAAATTAAAAATATTCTCAGGGACTAGTAGTGTGTCCAAAATGGGAATTTTCAAAGCAGACCCATGGAATGAACCATGCTGTCACAATTATGGCTGCAAAACTACTTATTTTCAACTAAGTTCCTGACAAAGAAAGATAAATTTCTACAAAAAGTTTAGTTTATATCATTAAACTCTGTGAACTTAATCCATAAAAGAAACTTGATAGGTTTCTGACATTGTCTAACCCAATAATCTTGTTCACAGTAGATTGAAAAAATAGGTCTACTCATACCAACTCCTCAGATTCAGATGAGCTTTAGCCCTTCTACAGAATCCCCATATAAGCTTCCAGTGAGCTATTCAAACCAGATTCTTATAGAGATAGGAATTTGTTAATAGTTAAATAAATCATTTAAACAATCTATAGGAAATTGATGTGGGATGTCTTTCTGCGTGATGTGAATATATATTGTTTTTATCAGTTGATGAATAAAGCTGTTTTGGCCTAAGGCAGAGCAGAATATAGCTAGGTGAAAAATCCAAACAGGGTTATGGAGAGAAAGAAGACAGAGTCAGGGAAACTCTGTGTAGCCAGCAAAGGAGTAAGATGCCAGAACATTACTGGTATGCCACAGCCACTTGGCAATAATAGATTAATAAAAATGTGTTATTTTAAATTGTAAGAACTAGTCAGTAATATGTTTGAGCCATTGACCAAACAATTATATTAATATTAAGCTTCTGAGATTTGGGGGGAACTGGTGGGTGGGAGACAAACCTCCATTTACACATGGTACCCAAAATCTAGCATGGATTCACATGAGACCTATAAAAAGCTTAAAGGTTAAAAACTCACAGAAATGCAACTGCACTGGGCTCTCTGGTCTCACAGTCTCATGCAGGCCATGGTGCACAGAGATAGTGGCATTCCATTCATGGTTCAGTACAGCATAGTGGATTCCCCATGGTACATTGGGGCATCTATAAGCTACTCATTATGCCACTTGGCAGAGTTATCTTTTACTCATACAGGGAAAAAAAAAGTTTATGGGCAGTGTGCTACAAGCTGCTTAGTGGTAGTGTAGACCAAAGCTGGGATAGAAAGTATGGCTCCCAGAGTTGGCAGTAAACATACCTCTACTGTTCTGGAAAATCAAACAGAGTGGAACCAACTGCCAAAGTGATCTTTCTGGTCCTAGTCACTCCTGCTTAACATTTTGAAACAATGGTCACAAAAAGATTGTAGGTGCACAATAAAAACAAATTAAGACAAAAATAGCCTTCAAACAGGTCATAGTGTGTTTCATAAATGTGCATTGGCTTGAGTGAGGATACAAGATAGACAAAGTCATAGATAAAAAGAATAATTCTAGGATAATAAACTGAGGTCCTTAAAGGAGAAATAGAGTAAAAAAAAAAACCATAATGGGCCATGTATAAATGGAAAACACACACAGAGTCTGGGTTATGTATATTATTATGTTTTATTTGGCTTTTTTGACCATTAATGAGTTAACTGCTGAGAGAAATCTGATTATGAGGTCTCCTAAACTATACCAACATGAATATTTTAAAGGTATCTTGACTTCAAAATTTGAGTCTAAGGATATATATTACTTTGAAAAAGATGTTCTACTTTTGTTTCCACAGAAGATGAGAACTTATGCATTCCTTCCTAAATAATTTGGTTTGATCAAGCAAGATCCCCTGAAACAATGACCCAGGTGATTCAACATTCAGAACAGCTTCAAGACTGTTGGCTGATATGGATTAATCACACAAAATACCCCAATCAGTACTATACCATGATTCTAAATATTCTCAGGGTCCCCACAAGATCACTGTGCCCAACAATCAATATAAAGTAGTCTAGTAAGCTATATCCAAACTCCCAAGTTTTGTTTACAAATGTTTTTGCTTTCATTTAAAAAGGATTGATTATAAATTATTACTTGGCACAGTTAATCTCTTTCTAAAAAAAAGAGGGGATATAAAATGAATATTTAACATTGGTATGGATTTTAGTTTATTGATACAAATTTAATATTAAATTTTGTTTTATATATTGATTTTAGTTTAAGTTAAATTATGTAATTTTAACTATACATTAATTCACACACATATCAACACCTGATTTTTGAGAAAGAAGGGAAAAAGGGTACAATGGAAAAAAGAAAGCATCCTCAACAAATGGTGCTGGCATAACTGGATGTCAATCTGTAGAAGAATGAAAGTGGATTCATATTTGTCACTATGCATAAAACTCAAGTCCAAATGGATTAAAGACCTCAATGTAAATCCAACCACACTGAATCTGATAAAGGAGAAAGTGGAAAGTAGCTTTCAATGCATGCTCACAGGAGACCACTTGCTATGTATAACCCCCAAAGCACAGACAATAAGAGCATCAAAAACTAAATGGGATTTCCTGAAACTGAAAAGCTTCTGTAAAGCAAAGTCAATAAGACAAAAAGGCAGCCTACTGAATGGGAAAAATCTTTATCAATTCTACATCAGACAAAGGTCTGATCTCCAAAGTATATAAAAAACACAAGGAATTAGACATTAAAAATCTAAATAACCCAATTAAAAAGTGGTATATGAACTAAAACAGAGAATTCTCAACAGAATAAATTCAAATGGCCAAAAGATACATAAGGACATGTTCTTCTT